GTTTGTGTGTGTGTGTGTGTGTGTGTGTGTGTGTGTGTGTGTGTGTGGGTTGAGGGGGATGAACCTTGTTGAGAATCACTGCATTCATTTACATGTAATTGGAGAGAAATGAGAAAAGCTATTTGAAGAGTGCATATTTGAATCCCTGTGATTTTCCAAAGAAATATGTCAATTCATAAGAAATGGAGCTGGGATGAATCCACGTGACATTGTCATGGATCATCAATAATATGATCATCATCCTGCAGTGCTCTAGCAAGCAATAAGAGGGAGGGAAGGGAGAGGAAGGAAGGAATAGCTGTAGACCAAAAGAGGTTTCTAAGTTTGTCTTTTCACAAAGAGAAATGATTGATTTTAGCTTTTTGAAAGTGTTCTGTTTGGGTCTGACTGCTCCTTGTTTAGATTGGCATTGGAAATATGAAAACAGCAAATATGTATATCATTCAGGCATGCTTATTGAAAGCCGTGACTGGCTGCAGCTTCCTATTGAAATGACAATTCTAGATTTCCCTCTGCATCAGGTTATGAAGTGACATCATTAATTTCTGATTCGGATGCCCATATTTATGTATGCTTAATGGCTACTGAAATAGATGACTGTAGGAGGACATGACTGGACAGAGGATTACAGCCAAAGGGAACATATTCATCTTAATGTTTTGGAAATTCTAGTCATTGCACAATGGCAATTTGGCCAGAGTCTCACACAGAGGGAAATACATTGCCTAGAACTAGAAGCCAAGTTTTTAATAGGAACCAAGGGGCCATTTTACTCAAGCAAGCAAACAATGTTGAGCTAATATGCTAGTTCAGTTGTTCTTAGGCAGTGGTGCTGAAATTATGTGGTTGTTGACTTATTCAACTGGCTTACCATGATACTGCCGATCCAATTACAGATCTGAAACAGTATTATTTCTCTCTGATATCTTGCATGGATGGGTGATTAAATCCAAGGCCATTTAATGCTTTCACAACTTCTGTGCTCCCATTGCGCTTTCAGAATGGCTGGCTATTCTGCATTCCTTTATATATTCCATGCCTGTCTCACTCTGGGTGTCAGCAGGTGTTTTTCAGGCATTTCTCTCTTTTTAGCTTTTATGGCCTTTGTAGTTGATATTTTATATATGCCAGCAGTTCTACTCGCATCTGAAATGCTGCACAAATGGAAGGAGGAAGCAGGGTGGAAGGGGAGGGAAGGCTAGCGAACAAGCCCCAAACAATGATTTCTTTTACTTTTTGAAATGAGTCCAGTGTTGCTTCCTCCAGCCTATTTATGTATGATGGAGTTTGCAGACTGCCTCTTTTATGAGGGCATTCTCAAGCTGTAAGCATTTTGAAATCTAAGAGGGTGAACGAAGTAGATAGATTGCCAGTCATTCTGCAGTATGAAGATGACAAGAGTTGCTAATTCCCACCATCCTAGCCACAGACCCTTACACTCCCAACTGTAATCACACCATGTATTATCCATAATTCAGCGTGATCATCTTTGGCTGATGTGGCTATTTGCTATGGCAGCTGTGAATAATGAGATTTATATTTTGGCACATTTAGAGAACACCAAGTTGGAGAAGACTTTTTCACATAGGAGAGGTCTACCAATATTGTCATTCTTAGTGTTTGCTATTGCTGGGTCTCTAGAGTATAGTGAGCTTGACCTTTATAGTCCAGGATATGTATCATCCTAACATTCTTCTTACCATCATTCACTCCCAGCCCTCCTTTATACTGTAATGATGACTTTACCTCACTATCTTCGACCATCTCCACTTCCTTTTCCAGCTGTAAATGATATGTAACCCTTTGCTGTTGAAAGCCCCATGGACATTACCTGTGATGTCCTGCAAGTCACTTTTACATAGGCCAAACTGACAGGCTCAACTCATGTTCAACACTGAAGTTTTTATTCTGACTATGAGTATTGGAGTCCCAGCCAACCTGTCTAATGATGTGAGATGCTGGGAGCCTCAGTTCAGCAACATCTGAAAGGTCCCCAGTTTCTATCTTCCTGCCCCTTTTTTCCCCACCTTCCCCCCATATAACATGTCTGACTTTTTGTACCTGTTTCATTCTAGGATCACACAGAGTTTTTGGTTCAAGTTTTATGATAGCTCTCCCTTATGCACAGATGGTGGCATTTTGGTACCAGGGCTTGAACTTTCAGAAATAAAGGCTGTGGCATTTATAACTGGATACCATAGAACATAAATTGTACTCTATAATCGGTAAGCAGTGAGCCGCACTTTAATATCCTTCATTTGGGACTCTGCAGTGCCATGTATATGCAAAACTTGTATGCTACTGCTGGCTTATATGCTTGGCATGTGTCTGAACTATTTTCCTGGTCATTGTATGTGGATGGATTCTGTAGCAGACGCAAAGAGGGCACATGTGTTAACTGAACAGTAATTATGCCTGATGTGAACAAAATATCAATAGCAATTGATTCAGCGGCACGGTGAATCCAGATTAACATTGACCATCCATCCTCTTCACCATCAAACTAATGCCTGGACCATTGGCTTGCAATTTTTGGGTATGTGTGTGCCCTTTCTGCCCAGAAAACATGACTGATGTGCCAGACTTTACATGGGAAGCTTGCATTGGAAATGCAAGCATTGGAAATGCAAAATGACCACCACTTAACTATAATTGTTTGAGAAGTCCATTGCAATGGTGTGTTGCATCAGACCAGCTTGCAGGCTCTCCAATGAGGCAGCAGTTCATTGTGGGTAGCAGGAGAGATTTAGGCCCTCAAGTCACCATGTAAGATTTAAGTCTTTCTTGGGAGTTCAAAGAGGTACATTTAGTACCCTTCCAATTTGACCTTCAGGATGAGTCCTCTGTGTAGGTAACTGTGCTGCCATGAGGCAGCTGATAGCCCAAGACACTCTATCACCTTCCAAGGCTAATAATCATAGACTTGAACCTGGACTTCTTTCATCCTAATATAGTTCTAATCCATATCATGATCTTGTACTTCTCTCCCTTTCTCTATTTGTTTTATGTTTCTCTGGCAGCACTAGGACATAAAGCTAACACTGTGATCAGCATGATGGGGATAAACCTGGGACCCTAGCATACCTATATGAAGAAGAGAGAAGGATTTGTTTTTGATCTTCAACTAATTTTAGTTTCCTGTCATATCTGAAATGGGTAATGCTGCTAATTTTAGTTTATCTAAGCCAAGATTATGTACCACGGTTGTAAGATATATAACAACAATATGGAAACCAATATCAAAGAAAATCATAATCTTTTGAACATATAATAAACTTAAATGCTTATTTGTCCAGCGAAGTAAAATAGTTCAAGGTTGCTAGTATTTTAAAACATGTCTTCTGGCTGACTTGATATTGTCTCCATGTTCTTCAAAACAACAGCTGCCTCTAGCGTTAAATGCATATAATTACAATTTTTTTTTTAAAATAAACACCTTACATTTAAGGAGGACAGAACCAAAAATAAATATATGATTACCAGCAAGGTTCCATCACTGGCTGACTCTAGAATAATTCTTTATAAGGTAATGGGTGTGTTAGATTAATTTAGCTGAAAATAAGCCCCACAAAAATAAATGAAATCCAAATACGTAGTGCCTTCCAATATATATGTGCAGATAACCAACAAAAGATAGACAAATTCTTTATACAGATATTTTTCTTAGGTTGGAGGGTTTATATGTTTAATGGTGCTCTAAACCCACTACATTTTCTTTTGATTTTGCTATTATGCAAGAATTGTGAATTTACCCTATTATTTAGTGATTAGTATTACACATAAGGATTTTACATTCTACTGGCTTGTTTAGAATAGTCAACCATTATATAATTGTCCCCTCTTGAATTGTATTAGATGATCAAACAGTGTGAATGGAATGAAAGCAGATACAGTAATACTATTTTAAAATACCCGTATGTACTCACAGATAAGCTCTTCCTTGGATAAGCCAACCCTTGAATTTTTAACCCAAATACCGTGAAAAAATGTGCTACCCACAGATAAATCAACTGTGAAGATTAAAATGTATATAAATTATGAGGGTCATCTTATCACAAGTGGTACATTTTTCACAGTATTTTGGTTAAAAAAATTAGGGTTGGCTTATCCAAGGATGGGCAATGTGTATGTATATACAGCACTTTATTTTGATAAAGGTTCCTCCAATGAGTACCCTTCCCTTATTGCTGATTGTGCTATATCTTGATTTAGGAATGGAGAATAAAGTAGGACCTTTCTGAATATTATATAGTGCTTAGCAAATTTAAGCTAAGGGCTGAGCGTTATGGATGAAAAAAAGTAATGAAGCTAGGGTAAAGGCAGGGTAAGATTTTGCTAAAGAAACAAATCCTACAGAAAAACAGGAATAAGATGACAAGGAAGCAACTGTGTGTTCCTCAGTGATCAATATTCAGATGCCACATAGGAGTACTGTGTAAGAAATGGAAGGGAAGTTTAAAGCAGAGAAGCAGCACAGTACTTGAGGCTCCGCTGTGATCTCTGAGAAGGAGGTCATACAATGGTTTTCTATTCAATTATAATGGAAACTTTAGTTCAATATGTCTGGAAGATATCAGACAGAGGATCAGTGTATGATGATATTAGACGTTGAGATAAACCAGAATGTTGGTGCTGCTATAGTTTCTATTTTTTGCAGCTCTTTTGATATGAACACACTAAAGCAAAATTCAGGCAAGCTATTCATTAATTATTTTTGCATTTTAAATCCCTATTGCTATATGTATGTAATCTTAAATATTTTAAAAGCAGATTTATGTATAATGGTTTCTTTTCTTATTTTCCATGTAACCAGATAGAAAAATCAATCAATAATGCATACATAACAGAGGACCAACTGGCGAAAATTGCAGAAGGCTACAATCGCTTGCATATGTAACATATGTAAATGATTGCATATGGCTGCAGGGCTTTAAGGCATTAAAATAGCATATAGGATATAGCATATAGATAATGATACATAAAACCAGAAACACAGTTCAGACATTTAATAGTAGATTTTATTGTTGGAAGAAAGCACCATCTTATTTTTATATAAAAGTATGAAATACAACTGTGGCAACTCCCAAGCTACAAAAGTGCTGAAACCACATTTTGGTGAACAGAGTTAAGTTTTCTAATACTTTCACAAAACACTACAGCTAAAGAAATAAGAACACAACCTCATGCCGAACATAAATTAGCTTACACACTCAAAAAAAGTACACAGGCAGAACTGAACCTCCAATTAGCATTAGGTAATAATACAGCTGGGCTCTTGCCCCTATTATTCATTAAAATCTGTTGGCCATTTGAGAAGTCTTGCGTTGTTTTTTTCATAAAGTTACATCAATTTTTAAAACAAGTACAACCCACCCACAATAGTTCTCCAAATATGTTCATAACACTACAAGAATGTTTGGTAAAAATATATGCTTAAAAAAAAAACTATCCACACTGCACCATGTATGATTTTTACATCTAATCCATCTAAATTACTTGCTTGTCTCTGTCCTGCCTTTGTTCCACGAAAGAAAGTGATGCAAACCAAGATTCTCTTTTTTTACATGTTATACATAAAAATGATTTATAGAAGGACAGAGAGAAATAGCCTCCTATATTTACAAATATATCCCTTTGCGAAGCTTAAACCTGCATGATCTATTTTGCTTCAGAAACAGAAACAACTATTAAGAAAATTAAGCTAAATATTGTGAGGTAAATGTTTTCTTAAACAATCTGTTAAACAGATGGGCATTACTGCCGATGACTCCAATTCCCAGGTGCCATTACTACTACTGCTTGCCACCCATTTGTGCTATAAACGTAACAGATTCCTTCAAAAATCATGTTTCTTCAACTTTTGCTACAGCAAGAGGGATTTCATACCTATCATAAATTTAGACTTGCACTATTTTAACTTTCTAGATTATGGGTCAAATATGTTTTCTCATTTTTTTTTAAAGCTAAGAAGGAAACTATGTGTTAGGGCTGTTCCCGCCGTGTGAAAAAAAAGCTTATATGAACTGGGTCAATTCAAATGGCTGGAAGAGAAAGGACAATCTTATTTCATTAGCAAATGTGACCTCGCAGCATAAGGACAGATCTGTTTCATATAACTGAACTGATGCAATCCATTATATCATCATCTCCTACTATGAGATGATGATATAATGGATTGCATCAGTTCAGTTATGTGAAGTAATTTTCCAGAAAGGTAAAAGCCTCATACAAAAGTATGTGAGGGAACAACAGGCAACAACTGACCAAACTAAACCCTCAACAATTTAATTTTGAATTTACAAGGTATCTGTTTTCCTTTAAAGTGAGATTTAACTGTATTATTTCATACCTATAGCCTGAAGCAATAGCAATAGCACTTATATACCACTTCATAGTGTTTTACAGCCCTCTCAAAATGGACTACAGAGTCAACATATTGTTCCCAAGAATCTGGATCCTCATTTTACGGACCTTGAAAGAATGGAAGGCCAAGTCAACTTTGAGCCGGTCAGGATTGAACTCCTGGCAATCGGCAGAATTAGCCTGCAGTATTGCATTCTAACCACTGTGCCACCATGGCTCTAATAGGCAATTACACTACTGTTGAACATAAGGAATCAGCCAAATGTCCATATTAAAGTTGCTTATTGTATAATGGTGTTGTTCTTTGAGGTTTCCTCAGGTTTTTTATTGAGGCCAGGCTCCGTAGATCACAATTCTCAGCCTACTTTCCTAACTCTGCATCTTTTTCACTCAAATTATCATTGGCTCATGTTAAGTTTTCCCCAGGTGATTTTCATGGAACACTTATAACTGCTATCAAATGACATTGTCCTCAACATTGGCCACTTAATATTAACAATTAAGAACATACTGCCTGAAGAAGAAGGCTGAAGTTATAAATGAGGTTACTGTAGACACTTCAAAATAGTTACTAGTACCGAAGTTGTCACTGTTTTTATCATAGTAACACTGAGAGAACCTGAAGATTTTGTCAGTTCACTGCAATTAAATGAAATAATATTCCAAAACTTGATATTATGAGTAACACCGAGAAAACAAGCCTCATTTATTAAAATATTTGGCAATTGACAGAATATTTAAGTGGTCTGTCCTTGGCTGCAATGCAAAGGTTGCACTTGGGTTCCTATTTTCTAATGCAAATACTGAATAGGAACATGCATACATACAATTGAATCTCTGAATATTTCCTATGTTTTTCACATAGTTTTCAGTTGTAACAATCACAGTTTCCTTATAGTATTTAAAAAAAGATGACCTGCCACGTTATAATTTCATGTACAGTACACTTGTGAACTGTAATAAAAGAACTGAGCACATATAAGAATTTAACTTTCTGGGTAGACATGACAGAAACTATTTATGTCAATGTATTATTTTGCTGTATCTCATGAACAGATAACTCACTAGCTTTCATTTTAGTTTTTAGAGGCAAGCTATCATGTATTGTGCCTCTTTTAGTCTTAGCTCACTGAAAAATGGGGAGAAATGTAACGAAGTCTCCAGTTATTTTTCATGACATCATGCTATTGGTGCCCTATTTGCTGCCATCTTTCTCTCACAAAAATAATAAATAAACTGTACTACATCAGCCAACAAAAGTTTGTCCACTCTATTATAACTGGAATAATCAATAATTGATAGAAAGGATCCTGCTGCAAAATAATTCTAAGATTAGTTATAATAAGAATTTTAAAATAGCTTCATCTACGCTGATTTTACAGTCACCTAACAAAATTTAACACAAAAAACAAACAAGGATCCTGCATCTGAGACTATGGTGACATTTTCCCTTTTCTCTTTGAGAGCATTCTCCCAAATCAGGAGGAACGTCACACAAGTAGCTTCGCTAGTCTATTTGGATTCAGCCCTCGGACAAGGCCGGATTTTCCTATAGGCTAACTAGGCTTCAGCCTAGGGCCTCAAGATCAAGAGGGGCCTACATTCAAATTGTTAGCAAAATTAAAATTACACTTTCACTATAGGTGAAAGGGCCTCATAAGTGGAATAGCCTAGGGCCTCTTTTCATCTAAATCCGGCCCTGCCCTCGGACCATCCTCTGATGGCAGGGAGGTGACACTATCGTGAGAAACAGTATCAATGCTTTGTGCTTCTGACTGAAGGTGGACAGATACCTCCACAGCTATTTCTTTGCCGTGGTCATTCACTGAACCATCATCTGAATCTCCTGCTGGTGAATTACTGCGCTTTATTTCTGGGTTTAAGGGATAGACTCCCTCTTGGGCACCAAGTGCTTGGGTCTGTTTCACTCCATCTCCTACTTCATCAGAGTCATCAACATGCACTGCTTCAAATATTTCTTCCATAAAGGCCCTGCAGTTAAGGATTAGAGGTGGCAGAGGGATACTTCTGGCAAGTTCTTCAATGTAGCGAGCAAATTCCATGGTTTTAAACTGGGTGACTTTGGCCAACTCTAGAGTTTTGGCAGAGGTAATAATAGGAATGCGTTTGGCTATTTCAAAAGCCTTCTGTAGCTTCTCAGCCCCTTCAGTTCTGAAGAACTCATTGATGGCTTTCTCTGTTTTACGAAGATGGCTGCTCATCATGCACAGACGTGTAATATTTAAGATTAGGATGATGGTAAAAGCAACTAGGCAGACAATCATGTAATAAATGCCCATGTCTCCAGAGGTAGAGACCACTCTGAGGGTGACTGAATAATAAGAAGTGCCATTTTCATTTTTGACACTGCAAGTATATCGTCCCCGGTCAGCAAATATTACACCTGTGATATTGAGGATATTGTCAGAGATCACCAGTCTTCCATCTAAAGACACAAATAGAATTTAAAAAAAAACATTGCAAGATCAAATTATGCTTTCGTATTTCTCAGGTCAGCATGCATGAAATATGGAACCATTTCAGTTGTGGTCCCTTCTCGCAATAGCAATAGCAATAGCAATAGCAATAGCAATAGCAATAGCAATAGCACTTAGACTTATATACCACTTCATAGTGCTTTACAGCCCACTCTTAAGTGGTTTACAGAGTCAGCATATTGCCCCCAACAGTCTGGGTCCTCATTTTACACACCTTGGAAGGATAGAAGGCTGAGTCAACCTTGAGCCGATGAGATTTGAACTGCCGAACTGCAGCTAGCAGTCAGCTGAAGTAGCCTGCAGTGCTGCACTCTAACCACTGCGCCACCTCGGCTCTATAAATATATGCCCAGAATTTCTGTTTAATTAGTTATAAATTGATTTTAAATATTCTTTTATTCTAATCTGCCTTTAATTCTGGTAGCTGTTCTGAATTTTAAAAACTGTTGTTCCTCATGCTCTAGAACAGGGCTATCAAACTCCCGGCCCATGGGCCGGATGCATCATGCGCTGGCCATGCCCACCCCCATTTTAGCAAAGGGGAAAAAAGTCCAGATAAGTCACATGACGTCACTGTGATGTGAGTTTGACACCCCTGCTCTAGAACAAGCATAAACCACATGAAGTTTAGCAGGAAAAAATATTTCGTACCAGATTGTCTACAATTACCTTTTATTTTGGATTAATGTTATCCATTTATTTTCCTTTTCATCCCTATGAAAATATCTAATAATGAATATTTTCACTGCAGCGTAACAGCATTCCGTGCGCCTTTGGCGTTTAGTCATGCTGGCAACATGACCACGGAGACGTCTTTGGACAGCGCTGGCTCTTCAGCTTTGAAACGGAGATGAGCACCACCCCCTAGAGTTGGGAACGACTAGCACATATGTGCAAGGGGAACCTTTAGCTTTACCTTATTGTAATTTAAGAGAGATTTGTAGTACATTGTAATATAGGTACCTTTAGGCACTATGATTGCATATCTGTTATTTTTTTCCCTTTGTTCTTTTTATGGAATGTGATAAGAAACCCTCTACAAGCATTATATATTGAGTCAAGCTTATTGTAAGTTTAGACACATATGCATCTTACCTTTTCCACCTTGCTCCAGAAGATGCCCCTTTGAGTTGTACCAGAGTATGGTGTCCTGCTGGCTAATGTTCAAATTACATTCAATGAAAACACAGGTACCTTCTTTTGCTATGATGTCCTGAGGAACTGGATATTTTGTCAAGGCTTGAAAGATTGGGAGAAGTGATATGTTGAGAGGCAGGGGCCTTGATCCCACAGTAAATGTCAGGTTGGAAGTAACATTTTCTTGAGCAAAAACACTGAGGTTAAGAACCAGAATCAACAGGCAGCAGCTGAACTTCATGGAAGCTTAAAATTAAGGGCTTCTTTTGTTGAATTTAATTACTGAAGAAAGTTAGCACTGAAACAATACACATTATCTTGATCACCATAGAAGATATTGAGTGATGCATCAACCATTGTCTTTGAAGATGCCTAAAAAGCAAGTACATGAGAAACCCAACTAAAATACTAAAAAAACATGAATGTGAGTTATTAAAAATACAAAACTGTATAGGTTTGTTAAACTTATGAAAAGGGTATTACAGCTAGAACCACCATAACTGCAACTTGTCTACATATTAGTACCAAAAAAAAAAAGAAAGAAAAGAAAAGAATCTTTTTCTTACACAAGTAAGTGATTTGTGATGGCAATTTCATTCACCCATTTTCATTCCTATATTATAAGATTGGATATAGAGTTTCCACAGATAGAAGGTAACCAATACCTTCTATCTGTGGAAGTTAGCATCAAAAAAACAAATTCTACTGACAAAAGAATCTTCCCCCATTTTTCTACCTGAGCTTTCTTAGTAGCTTATTTGCCATGGATTCTTCCCTGATCAACTCCATAGAACTGATTAGGTCACATTACATTTTAACACTTTCCTTCAACATTTTGGGGGGGGGAATAACATAGTTCAAAAATATAATACAAATATAGCTTCTATTTGTATTTTATTATTTGCTAAATGGAAATGAAAGATAAGTTAACAGATCTGATAACCGATCTCAGTCTAAAATAATTCTAATACTAAAAAACCAAAGTCTTATATGATGCTTGAGTTACTAATTTTAAGAAGTATTGAGTATCTAATAAACTTCTTCCCCAGTTTTATTTATTATTTTCGTAAAACCTCATAGAATCTTATCAGAGGTGATAATAAGTCCCTTATTTCTAACTGAGAAAATAACCAGCTTTCAAAAACTCAAGGTAATTATATGCACCAATTGCATATGTTCCCTAAGATATCGACCCAGGTTTGCATAATACACAATAGTTTTGAATGCTACTGAATTTTTCCATCATTCCTCAGACTTATTTTTGCTATCTAATCTTTCCTAATCCAGTGACTACTATTTTCCATACCTGTTTACAAACTGAATCCCTCACTACTAAATCATTTGGTAAGACATTAATCATTAAACCATTACATGTTAGTTAACAACTAATATAAAAGACAACAATTAATTGAAAAAACATACTTTTCAATTAATCTTTGGATTAAATGAAAAATATCTTTGAAAGCAACAAGTATGTACATGAAGCAACCAAGAGCTGAGCTTGACATTTTACATCCAGTCCCCAAAGGTTTCTTAAGAATTATTAGCTATAATTACTAAGATTAACTGCTTCACAACATCAGCTTTCATAAGGAATGCAATTATTCAGACAATTCAACATAATCGAACAACTCTGGAATCTAATTCAGCAAAGATAACACTGGGTACCCATATTTCATTTTACTGAAATAATCCAGAGGTGGGCACAGCCAATATTTAGGGGAAACAAGGGGTGTGCTTGAGAGTATCCAGATGCTTCTGAAATCTTTGGTGTTAAATTTTTGGAATGCTTGTTTTCCAATTGTAGACTGATACTCTTATGGACCCTTTCTTTGGATCGTTCTGAGTTTATTCATTTATTTATTTAGGATGACTTCGAATCACCTGGATACTGTTTGTGCCTGTCCCTGCAGTTTTCTTGGCAAGGTTTTTCTGAACCTTGCCTTCTTCCTAAGACTGGGAAGAAAGAATGACTGGCCCAACGTCACTCCCCTGTCTTCATATTTAAACCGGGACTAAAAGTGTCGGCTTCCCAGGTTCTAGCCTGGTGCCTTCACCACTACTACACCATCCTTCTGAGTTTACTACTACGATTATCATTACTCCATCGAGAGGCAAGGAGACGCTGCCTCGAGTTAAAACTGCCTGGAAAATCTGTGGCTCACCTCGAGAGACCAGACTGAGGGAGACAGCCGCACGCAGGCTCCTTCTCCGACCCTCTTGAGTTAGGGCAGAGGTGGGGGAACGATGGCCCTTTAATGACTTGTGGACTTCAACTCCCAGAATTCCTGAGTCAGCCATACTAGCTCAGGAATTCTGGGAGTTGAAGTCCACAAGTCATTAAAGGGCCATCGTTTCCCCACCCCCGAGTTAGGGTATCTAATTCAATTACTGTATCTGCATTACTTCTCCGATACAACAGCCTGGCCTATCCCTCCGCGGGGCAATACTCCTGGCGGGCAGTTTCCCCACCAACAGAGTTCTGGTGTGCAAAGACTCCTATTCACAACATGACGTCCCGACAGCGCCAACGTCATCCTTCCCTCCCCCCCCCACGCCTCCCATCACGCTTGATCGCCCCGAGGAGCGTCGGCAGCGGAATCCCTTCTCGGACCCTATGTCCATCCTCGCCCACCGCGAAGACAAACAACCCTACCTGTCCAACCACCCAGCCGGTCGGTAACTTTTCCTGCAAATTCGTCATATCCGGTAACGAGAAAAAAAAGAGCGAGATCACCCGACTTCCGGCTCAGTGACGCTCTTTCCTCCTCTCCATGGTTGAGGTACTGTAATCTGGCGTGTTTGGGGGGGGGGGGGGCATAGAGACGTGGCGTTTTTTGGTGTGATATTTCAGTGGAGAAAAAGGGAAGGAAAAAAAAAAAGCTGCAGAGTCCGGAGAGGACAGTCCCTGCGCTTCGAGTTTGTTTTTATAACAAGGTGTATTTTTCTTACTTGGAAATGCCTTTTTTTTATATGCCTTTGCTGCTTTGCTCTGGTTAGGAACATTTATTCCCATAAGTTTCCATTAGTGGTGATGCCAGTTAAAATCCACGCGAGTTGAATGGAATAAATCTTCCCTTCGGGATGGATATATTCCGAACCACCCCACCCTTCCCTACCAGGCTGGACTACAACTCCCAGTGGGCTTCTGGCTAACTAGGGAGAATGGTAGTTGCAGTCTTCAGTGTTTGTTTCAGTGTTTCAACAGAAAAGTTGATTTGCTGGAAGTGTATATGCGTCAGAAAAAGAGAGTAATAAAAGACTTTTTGTATTTACTTGCCCTACCCGCAGATTCTCAGAGGATTCTTTTGTTTTAGATCTTGACCTTTTAGATCCGACAGAAGTAGCTGAGTTTGGACTGGTGATTACAATTTGGCTGGAGTCCATCCTCTAAATTCAGGTAGGTGTCTCTGTTCTTTTTCATACCAAAGGTTGCATCCTGGAACAAAAGTGGCTTTTGTAGCTAAAACTTGTCTTTACTGACTCCTACTTACACGTTTTGCTTACTCTTTACTATTTCGTCCTCCTCCCTCTTGATTGCCACATTTAATAAACTTATCCCCTTCTCCATATTGTTTTTTTCTTCTTCTTCTGCCTTTCTTATATAAAGTTGTATGACTAAAGTTTTTGAACCTTATGCAACGCTGATGTAATACTCTAAATATCAACAGTTGGCTGAAAGGTCACTTGGATAAGTGGGATACTCTATGAGTAAGCATGCATAATAAGAGCACAGGCCTGGAAAATAAGATAGGCATCATATGCTATGCTGAAAGATTGTCTGAAGGAAATGCAAGGAAAAGGGAGGAATGATTGGTGGTGGACACCAATTTATTGTATTAACTCTGATTTTCGTTATAAAAACAAAATTCTAGCATGATTTCATATATTAAGTGCAAGGCACTAAACAGGTAATTCTCACTGTATCAAATAAGCAAAAGGAATTATTTCTTTGAAATTATGATTTGTCTCTCATTTATTCTTAGATATGTCTGCCTATGCTGCAGTTAGGTTGGGGGAAAGGGGGCCAAAGCAGGAAAAAACATAGGAATCTGATATATAAATTATCTTGAAACACCAGTTCATTTACTATCTCTCAAAATAGACCAAGGTTTTTCACACTTTTTGATGCATTAGAAGCACATTATTTTCTAGTTAAACCAGAATGTTTCATGCGTTTACTTTTGTATTTCTTGAAATGATAATGTATCCTAGCCTTGGCCTTCGATTTCTGTTGCTCAAATGCTCATGCTTCTGACACTTTCCCACTCTTGTGTTAAAACAACTTGACATATCTCTTGGGATGGTGTCATCATCCACATATTAAATGAAAGCTGTATAAGACTTGTCTCAAGAGTTATAGAGTAGCTATCTATTATACAAGTTATTCATATTCTTCCATTTTCAGATCGTCTACACAAAATAAAAAACAACAGCCCGATAAGTGCAGAATATGTAACAGTAAAAGCTCATATTAATTTAAATACGGTGGAAAGCTAACGAGGGCACAAGATAGCTGTCTTAATGAAAGGATTTTCAAAGTCTGTGTGAAGTAGAAGACAAGAACTTGCTTTGTTCCATGCAAATAATTGGTTGTATTATTTATTCTAAATAAGTGTATTTAATTAAACATCGGATCAGTAGCAGAATTTGGGTAGTCGATCTAAATAAGCAAAAAGAAGTGGAAAACATTAAGATTCCTTCATCATGTATCCTATAAGGCAGGATATAATTAAATAATTAAACACATAAAAATAAACACTAACCAATATAGGGCCTTGAAAGAAATATGAAGCCATTGTTTCAGCAATATAACGATGTGTTTTTAGAATCAAATTGTGGTTAATAGCTTTCTTGCCATTATGGGCTGAAACCTCTGGGCATTGAAAATATTCAGTTTGATGTGGAATGACTTGTCATGATCCAATTATAAATCACCATGGTCAGAAACATTTGGAACTGCTACTGTAGAATAAATTGGACAAAGACATTTCTATCCATAAAGCTGCACACATGTATGCGGGATCAAAACTAGGAAGAGTAATTGTATCTAATATGACTTAGCTCTTCACAATACTCTTTAGTTTTAGAAAAGTGTGTAGAGTTTAAGAGTTGCTGTCATGTGGGAAGCTGTATGTTTCATTTAAAGTTATTTGTGTTATTAAAAACACAGCTGTAAAATATAATCTGTTTTGTTATCTAATTGCTTTGCAATCAATTTCAAAGCCATTCTAATTACCGTATTTTCCGGCGTTTAAGACGACTTTTTAACACAGGAAAATCTTCTCAAAAGTCGGGGGTCGTCTTATACGCCGGGCATAAGCCTACCTACAGACTGACGGAAGCGGTTAGAGCAGCTACTACCATCTCTAGTCATTGCTAGAGATTTCTAACCCGAATCTGAGTTGCCGGCGCTGACTGATGACGCTACAGGAGCGCCGTAGCGCATTGAGGGGAAGCTGTGCCGATGTCGTCAAGGCTGCATGCCGCTGAATGCTGGACCCAGCTGGTTGCTGTGCGGAGCTTCCCCCACCGTCCCAGGCATCCAGGTGGATATTACCGACACTCTGACTTCCCCAGACAGCTGGGGCTCGCCATCACTGGGGTCTGGGGAAGTCGGAGCATCGGTAATATCCACCTGGATGCCTGGGACGGTGGGGAAAGCTCCATGCAGCAACCAGCTGGGTCCAGCATTGAGCGGCATGCAGCCTTGACGAGATCGGCACAGCTTCTCCTTAATGTTGTCGGCACTCCCGTAGCATCATCAGTCAGCGCCGGCAACTCAGATTCGGGAAGCTGTGCCGATCTCATCAAGGCTGCATGCCGCTCAATGCTGGACCCAGCTGGTTGCTGCGCGGAGCTTCCCCCACCGTCCCAGGCATCCAGGTGGATATTACCAATGCTCCGACTTCCCCAGACCCCCAGTGATGGCGAGCCTCAGCTGTCTGGGGAAGTCGGACGGTGGGGGAAGCTCCGCGCAGCAACCAGCTGGGTCCAGCATTCAGCGGCATGCAGCCTTGACGACATCGGCACAGCTTCCCGAATCTGAGTTGCTGGCGCTGACCGATGATGCTACGGGAGTGCTGACAACATTGAGAGGAAGCTGTGCCGATCTCATCAAGGCTGCATGGGTGACAGGACATGGGTGACAGGACAGAGTGACGGGAAAAAAACCTGGTACGAAATAGCCCTCTTGCCGCTACACGTGGCCGTTACCTTGACAGATGGGCAGCCTGGCTTGTAAGTATCTGTACCAGTTCTGTTAAGAAAACAAACAGCATGGCAGCTCCCATGAGTTTATTGTCTTATCCTTCCGTTCAGCTTTAGAGTGAATTAGGAAAAATTTAATCCAATTGCACTGTTTTATGTTTACATGTTTGATGACAAACAGCCTTATGTTTATAAGTGACAGTTTTCCTGCTAAGTACCTGCATGTCATAAGCATTTGAATTAAAATTACCATATTGAAATCAAATCTGATTTTTTTAATTTTTATTTGGTGTGCGTTGGAAGAGGGGTAGTCTTATTCAGCGAGTATAAGCCCAAACCCTATATTTTAACAGGAAAAGTAGGGGGTCGTCTTATACGCCCAGTCATCTTATATGCCGGAAAATACGGTATTTAATTTATATGTATGCCAAACAAAGGACTTCTTCTTATTCTCCTCTGCCTGCTGGCTTAAAGGAGAGGAAAGTAGTTAGCTGTTTAAGAATAAAATGATGAATCTAGAGAGTCTCAGTAAAATAGTTATATTTTCTCAAAGGAGTTGAAATAACTAATAGTTATTCTAATATGCCTATTATTTTTGACCTTGCTTGAGCGATATCCCTATGCAAACCACTGAATCAGAGATGCTTACTTCTGAGTAAACAGCATAGGATTGTGTTATGTATGTGCTTTAATACAGGGGCCTCCAACCTTGGCAACTTTAAGACTTGTGGACTTGAACTCCCAGAGTTCCTCAGCCAGCTTTGATTTTTACATACTTATTAGCTTGTAAACTGTTTTGCTGTACTGATGTGCTTTATTTAACTAGTCAAATGGACTCAATTAAGTTAAAAATATAATTAAGCTAAAATAAATAATTATAATAATTACTTATAAAACAAGGATATGCTTTGGTCATGTCCCAAATGGAAAATGAACCACTGAGAGAAGATGTGGGTGAACCTGATGAAAACGTGCAGAAGGCAGTGGATGAAGATGTGACCAAGAATAATGGCGAGGAAGTCGAACCTATGTTGATGACCCAGAAAAGATCAGAAGCCAAAACCACTGAGCTCAGTGCAGCACAACAGCCACAGGTGCAAAATATACTAGTATTTATGCTAAAACCTGTTAATAATTTTCAGTTTTATCTTAAAATATTCACTCTTTCTATCTTCCAAAGTGAAACATTTGGGGTTGGGAGTAGGGGGAGGGGGAGGGCGTGCTGGCTACAAAAGTCAGTTATTTTAATTCTGTAATTTAAACAGAATCTATCAATTTCAATCTGCAGTTGGATTGTATCTCCTTCTGAGCTCGTAAGAAAGATAAATATATCATGTGCAATCAAGTTAGGTCAGAATAATAATATAAATGAATTATATATCCTTATATATAATTATATAAGGATATATATAATTATATATCCTTACATTTTAGAGCATTAATTTGAAAGCAATTTGTAGCCATTCTGTTACTATAGGTCTGCTTGCATAGGTGACTATAATCGCTGAAACATAGAAATAAATATACAGTTTATCTATTAAGAGAATATTTTCATATTCTTGACAAAATTGATTCACAAGAGATGAAGAGTTGTATTAACGCAATATAGTTAACAAATACAAATAGTTTTTTTCATAGTATTGATAAATGTGAGGATTGTGTACAACTATATCTTTAATGTTTTTAAACAATGCTTTATATTATATTACCATATTTTTTACTGTATAAGACGCACCGGGGTATAAAACGCAGCTTAGTTTTTGGAGAGGAAAATAGGAAAAAAAAATCTACCTACCAGGTATTCATCTGGCTAGCGTCCTTAGTCTGGTCAGCTTCAGCACATTTGTTTGCTGGTTTTGAGCACGCGGGCGCTTTTTAATCCCCTGTTTGGGGATAAAAAACAGCTTCTAAAGCACAGCTGAGAGTCAGAGGGAGCAGGCAAAACATGGAAGATTGCTAGAGCCTCGTTAGGACTGAAACAAAAGCTTTGAAAAAGCTACATTCGGAATATTAGACGTACCCAAATTTTCAGCCTCTTTTGGGGGGGGGAAGTGCTTCTTATACTCCGAAAAATACGGTAATAAGAATCCCCTTTTATGTGGAACAGAACATTATTTTTTATTTGAATATCTATTAGCTCTTTCTCCATTAAACATCTAGGTTTGCTAACAGAAAGAAAAGATTGTTCTGTAAAATAGTGATGTAAAAATGTATTATTTATTTTTTCCATATATTTCCTTTGCTAGAAATCAGTTTTAATAGTTTGGTTATTTAAAAAAGAATAAATAACTGCTTACCTTGTTCTCTTTTATTAAGGTCTCAGGTCCCATTGAGAAGACCCAAACAGGATGGGGTTATTGGGGAAACTGGGGGAAATCATTGCTTTCAAGTGCTTCTGCTACAATGGCCACTGTTGGTAAGGATAGCTAAAATATAGCAGACTCATAGAACCTACTTTACAAATCCAATGAACTTTCTTTTCTAATTCTTTTTTCTTTTAGAGGTTAATGGGGGCAACCACAAAAATACCTTATGAAAAGTAAAGAAAAATATAGAGCAAGATCAAAATATTTTTTAAAAATATGTATTTATAGAACAGTAACTATATCTTGGTGTTTTGATTATGCATCACTCAAACCAGTTCAAACCTACATAGCTTTTACAAGCTCTTAATGGTTTTTATGTTATTTCTAATACAGAGGAACCGTATAAAATTGAGATTAAGCTAGTGGCTAGACTGAGTAAAACAGTAGAATGCATCCTATTGACTTATTTTGCTTGCTTGGACAATACAGGCAAATCTAAGAGGACTCCAGCCTTCCTGTCATCAATAGATGCATCAATAAATGCATTGTCACATATTGTCACACAACCATAGGAAATTTTTCTTTTGTCATGCCTTTCCCTTTGCAGTGTTGGATGACAAACATAAAATAGTACAAGTGTGGTTCAGGAGAGCTGAAATAGCAATAGCACTTAGAGTTATATAGGCGGTTTACAGAGTCAGCATATTGACCCTACCAATCTGGGTCCTCATTTTACTGACCTTAGAAGGATGGAAGGTTGAGTCAACCTTGAGCTGGTCAGGACTGAACTCTTGGCAATGGGTAGAGTTAGCCTGCAATACTGCATTCTAATCCTTGCAGCACCATGGCTCTGGAAACCCCAGAACACATTCTTCTTTGTTACTCCTTTTGTCGAGCCATTCAAAACAGATTTATTCTTCCTCTGATTAGTGATCCTGATTGTTCTGTCCTGGCCTATGAGCTGCCATTTATTGCAGTGCATATGGCTAAGTTTGGGTAGCAGCATGGAAGAGCTGGACCTTGATAGGTCAAGCTCCTGCTCTAAAGAAGTATTTTATGTCATTTTAGATATTACCAAATTTTATACAACTTTAGATATTATCACACTCCATGTAAATTTTAGAAATCGTATTTTTGTAATTTTACATGTTACGTTTTACGTAATTTTAGTGACTATCTCATTTATAGTTCAGAGATTGATTGTTTCTTTTGGGTCTTACTGGTGGGTCCTAGTCTGGATGTTTTAATTTCATGATGTATTTATATTTGTCTCAAATTTTATTTACTAATGTAGTTTCTTAAGATAGAGTTGTTGGTGCTAATAGATTCCTTATAGACATATTTGTGGTCTAAGACTGTTAATAAAATCATCTCTGCCAAAAAAATATATATCTCTTTGCATCCTATTGATTTTTATTTTGCTTTCTTGGGCAATTCATCTTATTTTTTTCCCTCAGGGTTAACATTATCTCTTCTTTCTCTAGGTCATGGAATCTCAAATGTCATTGAAAAAGCAGAAACATCCCTAGGGATCCCAAACCCTACTGACATATCGTCTGATGCCAGAGATGCAATAAAAGGTCAGATCTTATCTTAGCACATAAAATATTTTATATATATAATGATCTTTGTTACCTTTGAAGGGATCTCTTACTCTATGGCAGATAAGCTGAACATCAGGCTATCATATTACTGCCAAAGAACAAGACTTAGAAATATTGCTGTTGCTGGTATCTTAGAAATGTGTATATCCTGAAGGAAAAACACCTGCAACCTTTGTACTTCTGAACTTTGTTCAGGATATTAAATTTATGCCTGCATTTGGATAAACCTTTGATTTTGTGCAGTGTGAAGATGGCAGAGTTTCAGTTTTTGATACCAGTCTAGATAGAAATGGATGTTTATAACTGACAGCAGGAACTACTGGTTAGGGTCAGAGAATTTTTCTCTTTAGTTTTATATACCTACAGAGGGTTTAGGATACTTTGAAATATTCAAGGGCAGTTTTAACCCTTAAAAAAAATGAATGCTTTTGTTTCAGAAAGTCACAATTCTGAAGAAGTAAGTGATGACAAGAAAGAGACTGAAAATCCCTCACCTCTCAGTGGTGCTTTTGGAATGATTTCTACCATTTCTTCTGCTGTTCAGACCACAGTGAGTGAAATTGAAAGGGTTATGTTAACGTACCGTATTTTTCCGTGTATAAGACGATACTTTTTCTTAAAAATATTTACCTAAAAATGGAAGGCGTCTTCAACGTGGGGGTGGGGGTCTGAGAGGAGAATCGTGGTTGCAAGACTGCCAATACCTTATCTCTGCAAACTAGCCTCACGAGCAAAACTTCCGATTGCAGAGACAAGCTAACAGGCTTCCTCCAATCATGAGCCTTATGTAACTGACGTCAGCTGATGCTGCAGAGAGCGTGTAGCCAGGGCCCAGATGTGACAGGGAGCAGTAATGTTGGAGTATTCTGAGCCCATAAAAATGTCAGAAAACAAAAAAATAAAAAACCAGTACTGGTAAGCGAATGTCTTACTTTGCAAAATAAATGTCTTCTATTTAATCTTTACAATATTGATTTCTGAATCTTTGGTAAGAAAAGTGGAGGGCATCCTATACATGGGGGCATCTTATAGATGGAAAAATATAGTATGTATTTTTGATCAGTTTATGCTGTCAGCCCTTTAAAGTAGACCAGATCAGGAAATAGATGTCACCAAAGACTGGAACTATACATATTTGAGATGGGTTATAATAATAGAACCTTGCTAGTCTGTCTGTGTTTTTCCTTCTTTCCCCCTTACATCCCAGAGAGTTGGGTGTTTCGAGTCTCTTTGTAACCTTATCCGTCCTGGCTACATTTAGCAGATATTCCTTCTGCATCTGCTGCTTCCCTGACAGACTTTGGATTCTTTCTTCAACTTTCTCCCTGGCTCTGTGAAGGTTCATTAGATTGTCAATCAGGGATGCAGTTTTTTTCTTACTTTTATCTTTTAATAATTGCTTTGTTTATTGCCAGTAAATTATTTGTGACCTGTTTAGGGGTCTTGAATTACAAGCTTTTTCCTATCATAAAGAATTAGACTAAACTAATCTTGGCCATTTGAACTTTAGCAAATTCTTCAATTGATGAAGATGTAATGCGTTTACAAAGCACTGGTGTTTGAATGTTGTTATAATTTCATGTTATTTTATGACTTGGTTTTCTGAACAGAAATTCTCATGAAGTAAGATATATCTTAATGTCAGGATATACTGAAGATGTAATAATCATAAATCATTAAAATACAGAATGGGATAAAATAGTTATTAACAGTAGCCCACTTATTTATTGTATCTTTACCCCCCTCTTCTCAATGAGTCTGAGTAGCATATAAATTGAAAATCAAATAATGCAAGATAAGACAACAGCAGAAAAAAGAAGGAGAACCTTTCACAAAAGCAGCCGACAACTCACTGTAGGCCAAATCTGAGAAATAAGATAGATCCTCTGAGACTCATTTTTAAAGAAAACATGTGAATCTCCCATTTGGATCTCCCCCATTTGAATTTCTGGGGGAATGCTGCTCTCCGGATAAGTACTGTAGTAAATCCTATCTAGTAGGTAGCAATAGCAATAGCATTTAGACTTACATACTGCTTCACACAGTGCTTTACAGCCCTCTCTAAGCAGTTTAAGGAGTCAGCATATTGCCCTCAACAATCTGAGTCCTCATTTACTGTCCTCGGAAGGATGGAAGGCTGAGTCAACCTTGAGCTGGTTAGAAACAAACTGTTGGCAGTCAGCAGTCAGCCTGCAATATTGCATTCTACCCATCTGCCCCGCCACAGCTCTTATCCACGGATTCTATCAGATTGCATTGTTTAATGGATGGTATCCAGAGAAGACAACTCTGGCTGATATTACAGGATGAGAAGAAACAATGAGAGATGGCCCTTCAAATTACAAGGCCTTATTTTGCGTAGAAGATTTCTGTTCTGTAGCAGCTGAACTTTTATGGCAGTCTTCAAGCCCCATATAGAATGCATTGCAATAATCCACACAGTGAGGAAACCCAAGATATGTTGTTCTTTGCTAGGCTGATCTGAAATGAGGCAGAGTAAAATTGAGTGTTGGTATACACTCAAAGCTGAGCCTTTTTTTATGTAGCCAATTCAAGAGTTATAAATGCATACTCTGGAAATGCTTGCTTTCTGTCAACACATTTTTACGACTATTTATTTGTGTCCCGCTTTGCTACCTTGTTTCCAAGGAAAATGATATAAATCAATCCTGTATTTTGAACATTTGGCTTCTAGAAGTTCAAATGTGCACTTACAGTATATCTCTATCATAAAACTATTTCTTTCTTTCAAAGCCATATCTTAAAAAGTGCAAAACTCTTTTTTTTTTAAAGGGCAAAACAGTTATAAGTGGAAGTCTGGATGCATTAGAATACATTGGTAAAAAGACTATGGATGTGATAGCTGAAGGTGACCCTGGATTTAAGAAAACAAAAGGCTTGATGAACAGAAATTCCACACTATCTCAGGTATGGATTTCCCACACGAAACCTGGGAACGATTAATTTCTGATCCTCTCATTAACAAATTATTAATCAACAGAACAGTTCACAGCCTAGCACCAAATTTATAGCCGGCGACCTTTTCTCCATGCTTTTTTTTTTATGCTGCTGTTGTCACACTTCAGCTTCTTTATTTGTAGGTCTTGCGAGAGGCCAAGGAAAGAGAACAACAGAAGACAGCTGCTGAGGTTTCCATGACTACAGAGAAGAAAGCACATTATGGATTGCTTTTTGATGAGTTTCAGGGGCTTTCTCATTTGGAAGCCTTAGAGATGCTTTCCAGAGAGAGTGAATCAAAGGTAAATGACCTTAAGCAATATATATATTATAATTGAGGAAGAATAAGAATAGGGATCTATAGAAACTCTGGGAGATGAATCCATTTACAGATTCTTTGCAGCACCAGTAAATAAAAGCCAATCAAAGCAGGAAAAAAGATTTCCTGTGGTCATCAATTCCTTCTCTCTGCTTTAAGTGGGTCAGTGTGTTTTTAAATAAGAGGCCTAAAAAAGGGTTTTTATTTCCTGGTGGTATTATCTAACTGGGATGGTCCAAAGAAAATCAATTCCATTATATGATATGGAAGCACAAGTATATGGAAACTCTTTTTGCCTTTTGCTCCCATTTTCCAAAAAGCATTTTTTTTTGTTACTCAGTCTATTTTTTTAATACTCCTGCTGTATTTCTCATATCACATATGAAATTACCGGATCCACAGTTCTCATTGTATTTTTCAAACAGGTGAAATCTGTTATAAGTACACTTTCTGGTGAGGAGTTTGCTACTTTAAAGGAAGATCTGGAAAAGCTGAAAGAAGCGTTTTCATTAGCTGAATTTGATGACGATGAAGATGACGATGAAGAAAAAAGAGGTAATTTGGCAGATCCAACACTTGAATACTGGCCGTACAATAGTATATAAATACCTGTTGATCAATGGTGGGATTCAACCGGTTCTCTGCCCTAATGATTTCTTCCAACAACCAGTTTGCCAAACTGCTCAGAAAGTTAACAACCGGTTCTACCGAAGTGGTGCGAACTGGCTGAATCCCACCACTGTTCTTGATGTGGGTGAGGTAGCTTTCTAACATTCTGTAGCATTCAGTCATTAATGCTTATATTTTAGAGGCTCTAGCTTTTCATTAATCAAGTGAAATAAATAAGGGGTATTAAAAGCTTCTACATACGGGTAGGCCTTGACTTATGACCACAATGGAGCCCCAAATTTCTGTTGCTAAGCAAGACAGTTTTGCCCCTTTTTATGACTTTTCTTGCCACAGCTGTTAAGTGAATCACAGCAGTTGTTAGTAAGACAGTGATTAAGTGAATCTGGCTTTCCACATTGACTTTGCTTGTCCGGAGGTTGTAAATGTGATCCCATGATCCTGCAACTGTCATAAATACATGCCAGTTGCCGGGCATTCAAATTTTTATCATGTGACTGTGGGAATGCTGCAGCGAAAAACAGTCATAAGTCTCTTTTTTTAGTCCTGCTGTAATTTCAAATGGTTCACTAAATGAATAGTTGTAAGTCCAGGACTACCTGTGTTTTAAGCTCTGTTCTTCTGAATACTGGCTAATTACCTGTACATTTAAAGAAAAAATCACAAAGTACCAGGACTTACAAATTGAAGTTGAGCGACTGTGGAAAAAGAAATCGTGTGTTGTCCCGATTGTAATTGGAGCCCTCGGAGCAATACCCAAAGGGCTACCCCGCTATTTAGAAATTCTAAATTTGCCGGACTTGAACATTTTGACTCTACAAAAAACCACCTTACTCGGAACAGCTTACATCCTCCGACGATACCTTAACAGTTCCTAGGTCCTTGGTTAGGACTCGAGCTGCTGAGCTATTAACCAGCCTCAAAGGCTGTGAATCTCACTAAAGATTAACCAATAAATAATAATAATAATAATAATAATAATAATAATAATAATTATTATTATTATTATTATTATTATTATTATTATTATTATTATTATTATTATTATTCAAATTTTTATACCGCCCTTCTCCCGAAAGACTCAGGGCGGTGAACAGCCAGGATTAAAATACATACAATATGAAAATTAAAATAATTTAAAAAATAATTAAATCAATTTGGCTTCCCCAATTTAAAACCCCTTACCCATAAAATTAACCAATTAAAAATTTTAAGCCAGCCCGGTTTGCTGAAATAAGAAAGTCTTCAGCGCCCGGTGGAAAGTACGGAGGTCCGGGATTAGTCGTATCCCTGGGGATAGCTCGTTCCAGAGGGCGGGTGCCCCCACAGAGAAGGCTCTCCCCCTGGGGGTTGCCAGTCGACATTGCTTGACTGACGGCACCCTGAGGAGACCCTCTCCGTGGGAGCGTATTGAGCGGTGGGAGGTTATCAGTGGCAGAAGGTGGTCTCGTAGATACCCAGGCCCTAAGCCATGGAGCGCTTTAAAGATGAGAACCAGTACCTTGAAGCGCACCCGGAAGACCACCGGAAGCCAGTGCAGCTCGCGCAGGAGAGGTGTTACATGGGAGCGCCATGTCGCCCCCATAAACACCCGCGCGGCTGCATTCTGGACCAGTTGGAGCCTCCGGGTGCTCCTCAAGGGGAGCCCCATGTAGAGAGTATTACAGTAGTCCAGGCGGGAAGTAATGAGGGCATGAGTGACCGTGCATAAGGAGTCCCGATCCAGAAAGGGGTGCAACTGGCGTATCAGGCAAACCTGATAAAAATGATAGCATGGGACTTCCTTAACTAACATAATGTAGAGAGAAACCCAGTGGTCACAGTGGCTGATTGGAACCTTAGGGGGGAGACTTATAATGGCTCCTGTGTCTATAAATCAGGCAACTTGTAGGTGAAAAAGAAGAAGACAAAAAACACTCATGCTTGTTCCATTATTTTGCTAGTATTATGTTGGTTGCATAGCTGTTGACACGTACCTATTACCTTTAGAAAGCATCTTAGGGACCCCTATCTTTCGATCACAAAGATTCTTAAAAAGTGTGCTAATGTTCTGAAGAACAGAGATATGCCCCACCTGGGTAATGAAAAACAACAAACAAGCCTTTATGTAATTATATTGAAAATACACAAACTACATCCTGTTGTTTTTAGAAGACGAAGATTTCACAATTGAAGTGGGCATACTCTTTTCACAGCTGCGCATCTCTCTAAAACCGGCTAAATTGCTCCAAGTGAGTAAATACTTGTTTTTAGCTTTTAAGATTATGTGTAGAGTTGTTCTGGATGTAGTTTGGGCTTCTGAAATTTGTAGTAACTTGTACTAACTAGACTAACTTTAAATTTTTATTTTGATTAGTTTATATTAAATTGATTAATAATTGGTGATAACAGCAACTGAAGGATTTTATAACTTAGAGACTTTCTGCCTGGGAAAGCCAAGGGAAATCATCAAAACCATTAAAAAATGAAAGTTAGAATATTTTGGGCATTTGATGCGACACCTGGAAAAATATAGCATACTTCACTTAATCCTCCAGGGGAAGATTGAAGGCAAACTAGGTGCAGGCAGAAGAAGAACATCATGGCTTCAAAATCTAAGGGACTGCTTTGGACAAAACTCAGTAGCACTTTTTCGTGCTGTTGATAAGAATAGGATCACCATCATGATCTCCAACGTCCGATGACAGATATGGCACAAGAAGAAGAAGAGAGACTATCAACAATTAGAAGTGCTTTTCTGTAATGGACATCTTTTTCCAATAGCTCTAGGCGAGATGGGTGGCAAACAAGCCAAATAAATAAAAAAAACCTTCAAGCTGGCTCTGTTAGTGGTTATATTGTTGCAGCTCTTTAAAATATCCAGAATCTAAGCTAACTAAACTTAATTTCTGGGTATTGGATTGTTATCTTTTATAAGTTTTATATGGTAAAGTTTAAAGAGTAGCTTAAGGCAATAATCAAAATATTTTTTCTTTAAGAAGATAGATTAATAGAAGTAGAACGAAACAAAAAATACATTTTGTTTTGAGTTTCAAACAAAACAGCTGTACCTGAACTTTCATATGAATATTCTGCTCTATTCTATCCTGCAATACAAGTCAGAATCGTTCAAGTATTCTAAAAAAAACCCCTGAAATATTTTGATTTCACCCTAGGAAACAATGCTGAGGGCCGGCTCCTCTTCCCTTGTGTTTTACAAGAGGGCCAGAGAAATAAGGGGGATTGTAGTTCATGCATCTGCCACCCCAAGCACAAAACAGAAAGTACAGTTGTGGTGCTTGAAATATTTCAAATGGCACAATTCAAAATGATCAGATTTTATTCAGTCTTAAAATTCTTGAAAAGTAGACTTTTCCCAGTCAGAATATTTCAAAATTAAACGACACACTTCCTTGTAGTAATGTGTACAAACAGTAAGTGGCGCTGTTTTCCAGGAGAGAATGGCAAAATTCCAATTTCTGCATTGTATTATGTCAATATATAGTATGGTGTTAATTGCTGAAAGAAAGAAAAAATACTGTTTTTAAACATTCACTTGCTAAAAGCAATTCATGTTTTCTTGATTTATGAAAGCTTTCATTAATTCAAGATAGGTGCTTATAGCAGAGCTATACAGATTGACTCTGATCTGTAATTGCCTATTTGGTTAGAATCATCACATTGAAGCAGTTGAATAGTGTGATCTATATTGTCTGTTCAGTTTGGAGATTAGGGCTTTTTGTGTATCCCACTTGGGATAAATCTCTGTGACTCAATTGCCATTCAATGTTATTTGTCTGATTTAAAAAAAAAATCTGGTGTATTCCTCTGATTTGGAAAGCTTATACATACATATATCTTTGTAATTATCTTGCACATACTTATACATGAGATTACATGCTTATATACATTTTTAGATGTATGAAACATCTTGGCTTGGTCGGGTGGGCGAGTGGAGTTTCCCAGGCCACAGGAATAAAATTATATCTTTTATGTTAATCTAAACACTTGCTTATATTTATATAGTACATGTTTACCCAATCACTGCACTGTACCCTTCCTCCAACAAACAAGAAGAAAAAAATGGGACTGAGCTGTTTCAGTCTTGAATGGGAAAGATTACAGACTTCAGCATTATGCTGCAGCATTTACACATCTATTTACCAAACGCTTCATTCTATACCACTATGACTGAAGAACCATAATGGCAATGCACAGATAGAAGCAGTGTTGATTTCCAGTGGCTAGAATTGGGAAGGCAGGGAGCAGTTCATGTAATCAATGAATAGTGACCACTTACTTATATGGAAATGCGTTGTGGTGGAGATACACTGTTTGCACTCTCCTCATGGACATGATGCTATCTTGAGATTTTGCTACAAATTGGGAATGAAGAACATGAAGACTTATAGATGTTATTCTCTCTGGCATCTATTGTCACTGGTCATATTGGCTGGGGGATGCTGGTAATTCAACCGTACCTAGAAGGCTCAACATTCCCCATACCTCTATAAGGAAAATAATGTATTTCTTTAAAGAAATCAGTTTCCTTGCCATGTATCAGGCCTCTGACATTTTGTTATCACCATCACTTGGGAACAATTATGAACTGGGATCTTTTACTTTTTCCCTGCAGAGACTGGATAGGGGCATTCTCCTGATCAGCAATTTGTTGATGTATCTCTTTTTCCCCCCCTCTTGGGCAGGCAAGGAAGTCTGCTCATGAATTAGTTAAAAACCTCAACGTGCAAGTGGTCAAAGAAGCAGAACAGCATGAAGGAGAAGGAGACCAGGAAGTGGGCCCAGGAGATACTGAGAATAAAAAGTCAGTGGAGGTAATCATTGTAATCAAAAGAACGCTGCAGTACAGTTTAAATGGATACACCCATCGAAGAGTTATCACCATAGCCCTTCATATTCAAGTTATGATCTCTTCATGAAGTCTTTGGGGGGAGGGGGTGGTGGAATTGGATGTGAAACTAATGTCATGGCTTCCTCTTTTAAACAAAATAGAATAATATCCATTTTTAACTTTGCAGGATATTCACATGGTTGCAATCAGAAGCCTGGCTGAGTTGACAGCTTATTCCATTGAAATGTTCCACAAAACTGCAGCATTGGTTCTTCATGGGCAAAAAGAAGATGTGTTGGCTATAATCCGAGCAAAAACCCTTTCCCAGTAAGATTAATCATGCCTGTCTTCTCTATTTCTTTCCCTTCTTCTAAAAAAATGTAAAAAGATTAACAAATACCTGGTTCCTGCTAACCAGTCTTGTTTAGGGCAGTGGAATAAAAGCCCAAAGATTCTCCTATGCAATTCCTTACTTTTGTATGTCCATATCTAGTATAACACAATGCCATGGAAAGTCTTAAGTTTATAAGCATTCCAGTACTTCCTATAGGAATTGTTTTTACTACCATGCTTACAGGCCTCCTTCTGCTTGCTTATGGCTCCAAGAGGTTATAGAGTTCTTTCAAGGCACATATTTGAATGTTTTCCTTCAGTTGAACCTTCTTATTTCTCTTTAGTAATGGAAGTGATCGGTCAAAATAATGGATGAATGAGATGAGGAAGGGGCATATAGAAGGGAGGCCACACTGAAAAACAGCCTGATTTATCTCTAGCAGTCAGAGAGTGCCCAGTTCTAATCATGTTCTGAATCTAAAATTTTGATAAAGCAATCAAAGTCTCCATGTCTTACTATCTATCACTGGAAATTTAGAAATGAGTACACCCTCTCTTCATTTATTGTTTAGCGTTCCATTCCAATAGTCATTAAATGAAATGGTTGCTAAATGAACATGAAAGAGAGAGAGAGAGAGACATTGCTAAGTTAGCTGGCTGCTATCTGATTCAGATAAAGTTATCTTGTACAATGTCCTATGCCTGACCCATTTCCCCCCTTTTTTGCCTCCTCACAGGCAGAGAGATTGCTTAAACAAGCTGTCTCTTCCTAAGTTGCTTTTCTTCATAGCTCAGTGCTTCCCTGAAACTCGCTAACCCAAATTAACAAGCTCAGCTCCCTGTCCTTAATTAGTTGATTAGAATCTTCTGGCCCATTGGTGAAATTGACCAGGTCTTAATCAGTTCTACACTGAAGACTTTTATTGTCAGATGCCCAAAATTTGGTCTTAAATGTGTGCATGGGTTAGAAAATGAATTTTTAATTACCATTTATTACTGTCGTATTTGTGAATGATCACTGAGATAATCGTGAGGTAAATGAGAAGTGGCAGTACAGTAAATAGTTTTCTGCCTGATAGAATTGGGTATTTGGGGATATATATCCTGAGTCTCTTTCTGAGAAACTGAAATCTGACAAGTTTTAAATGAATCGGTTCAGGTAGTTGTGTGCAATAACATATTTAAAAATTACTTGTCCCAGAAAGAGACATTTATGTTCCTTTCTGTAAAATTTGTATGAAAATAGTACATATCAAGATGATCTTTTTTTTGTTGGAAATCTACTAAACAGGTATAGGGCTTAAGTGCAAAATAAAAAGCAATATAAAGACTTTAAAATTTTGCTCGATGCCAGCAATAGGAGGATCATGGGTGAGCAGCTTTCAAAGAAACACCCTCTCGGGTCTCATCGGCATCAGTATTTTTTTAAAAAAATATTCTTCGTTCCAGGAAAAAGAAGTAATAAAGAACTCTAATGATAAAGAATATTTGTAGCTGTAGGTTTAAATGAGAGGTCCTTGGTCCTCTCTGAGCTTGGTTGTTTTCTTGCAGACATTTCATTACTCAAACTAGGTAACATCATCAGTGCTGGTGCAATGATTAGCATTGATGATGTTAGCTAGTTTGAAATGTCTGCAAGGAAACAGCCATGATCAGAGCACCTAGGACCCCCCCCCCAAGAGCACTAAATAATACAGCAATCTTGCACCATTCTTTTTTCAACATCTTTCCCAGAAAGTGTATCAATTTAATAACCCTACAGAAAGAACTGACGCTGATTAGAAGCTAAACCTGTCCTCAACGCTTTTTTTCCCCCTTCTTTCTACACACAGCTAAAGGAAATATTTGCAAGTTAATTGGAATCTGTGTTTCCTATGTTTTCATATCCCTTCAAGAACCTGCTTTAGAAAGGCTTGATTTTCTATTCATGTATTTTTCAAATCAGCTCATTATGGCAAAATCAGAGCATACCTCTAGTAGGATCCCAGGCATACTAGTTGCAAATTATGCAGGATATTTAGAGACTGACTGACTAAAAGCTTGTAGATCATCCTTAGTCCTATACATGGTAAAAGAAATAAAAAAGATATATATTTTATTTATGATGTATTGTTGTTTTTTTTTAGAATGACGATTATGTTATGCAAAGAATTGTCATCTCTCTCGAAAGAATTTGCCACATGCTTAACAACTGCAGGGGTAAGATGCTCTATGATGTCTAGCGGTAAAAAGCTTTTTATGAGAAAATAGAAAGATTCAGCCTACAGGACACATATTACTGTTTTTGTTTTATGCTATTTCAAAGAAGGGTGTCCTGCTATTTCCTGTAACTGCTACAATCAGTAAAGTATTTTACTTCGTTTTATTAGTAAGACGTTAGCGTTTACCATTTTTAAAAGATTTTTTTTCCCCCAGATAAATCAGAAATGGTTACTAGGGTTGGACTTTTTCATAGATTTCTTCATATCAGTTGTTTCCTCTATTTTGCTTTAGATCAGGGGTGTCAAACTCAATTTCATTGAGCGCCGCATCAGGGTTGTGTTTGACCTCAGACAGCTGGCCATGGTGGGCGTGGCCATGGTGGGTGTGACATGGGACTCATGTCCAGAGGGCACCTGTGGTAGCCAAGCGCTAAGGCAGGACTTCCCTGAGACCCTCACTCACTCTCATTATATCCTTCCTTCCTTCCTTCCTTCCTTCCTTCCTCCCTCCCTCCCTCCCTCCCTCCCTCCCTCCCTCCCCATCTTTTCTTCTTTTTCTTTCTTTCCTCTTTCCCTTTCTTCTTTCCTGCCCCTTCTTGCATGCTCAAATCTAAACACCCCACGGGCCAGATCTAAGCACCCCACAGGCCGGATCCGGCTTGTGGGCCTTGAGTTTGACACCCCTGTTTTAGATGCTCACATTACTAGTATGAGAGGATCCATGCCAGATATTTAGCATCATTTCCACCTTGACTCTGAATATTACACAGATTCATTTCTGTACCATGGGGAAATACATTATTTAACTGATCAAAAATCAAAGGTTTTGAAGAGAATACACGCAGCCTGTATTCTCTTCAAGATTTTTCTTATTTCGGCTTGGTTTTCAAATGTAACTTAATATGTTGAATCTTTTCAGGTGGAAGAGAAGGCTGATGTGCTCAACCCTTTAATCACAGGAGTGTTTTTGGAGGTCAGTTACATATACAAATGCTTGCGAGGGATGGATTCTGAGAAAAATATTTTGACACCTGGCCTGATATCTGGCCTGATATAGCTGTGAAACTAGTACAGGTGGTCCTTGACCTATGATCATAATTGAGCCCAAAATATCTGTTGCTAAACAAGGTAGTTGTTAAGTAAGTTGTGCCACATTTAACAGTCTTTTTTGCTACAGTTGTTAAGCGAATCTCCTATTAACTTTGCTTGTTAGAAGCCAGCTGGGAAGATTATAAATACTGATCACATGACCCCAGGACAGAGCAATTGTCATAAATACACGCCAGCCAAGCCAAGCACCCAAATTTTGATCATGTGACCATGGGGATGCTGCAACGGTTGTAAGTGTGAAAACTGGTCATAAATAACTTTTTCCGGTGCCATTGTAACTTCATATGGTCACTAAATAAAAGGTTGTTAGTTGAGGACTGCCCGTATTTGGTTCATAGTACCTGTTTCTGAACTTCTATTGTGTAGAGAGAAGGGGAGTACATAAAATGGCAAATGTTTTGGGATGTTCTTTTGCTTGGGACAAAACAATTCTATCCAATTTGGGATGAACAAATCAAATAAATAAAACATTTGAAACATATAACACAATTTAGGTTAGAACGATCCACTTTAGAACTCTCTTCTGGGATCAGAACAATTAGTTTTTGCAGCTTAAAACAGTCAAATTTTAATCTGAACTCAGGCAGATAAATGTCTTCGAACATGCGATCTGGACTTTTTGCTCAAATATTCAAAATGGCAGTTCAGACTTGAAACACTTTGCATATTTCTATTAAAATATGATAGTGCCACATGATTTATTGCCCTAGATACTAAGGATTATGAGCAGTGTAGAGATTTTATGCAAAGGGTTTTGGCTAGGGTTTCAAAACACTTCCTTATCTTCATAGCATAACCTTATACAGACTAAATACGTAACAATGAAGATTAATATTCCATTCTCCAATCTCCATCCAACTGAAAAAATTATATAATTCCCATAGATTAGAACAAAACTGAAATAATGTAAAAAGGGTTTTAAGAAATAGATGGATGGCATTAAGTGAATATGGAACAACTTGTTCATGTAATATGCCCAGGTCCCAATCAAATTACTTATATACCTATTCGTCACTATTTATTTTACTAAAGCAATTAATTAGAGACAGATGCCAACCAAACTCTGATCTTTAGAATGTATGAATGTTCTTTATTCATTTGACAAGCCTTTTCATTTTCCTTTATAGGCTTCCAACAGTGCCTCTTATATCCAAGATGCCTTCCAACTACTTTTGCCAGTGCTGCAGATCTCGCATATCCAGACTCAGAAAGAGTTATCTCAGCAATAAATCAAGTCTGACTAAACTGGAACATCACTTCCAATGGACCTGAATGGAAGTTCCCTCGTTCCATAAGAAGATGAAAGCATCTTTAATACAAATTAAGACAGATGTGTTGACTTGTGATTTTCCACTGACCAGGATAAGATGCTGAAAGGACATGATGTAGTTACCTACCTACGTAGACAAGATGATCTATAGGCAGCATAGGAAGTTTGTAATACAATTTATCTTTGTCATTTTGCTGGATAATGTCCTATGTGCTTCTGCTCTTTAGACCCGCTGCATTATGCTCCTTGAGATAAGAGCATTATGAAGGAAAGACTCATAGGGCAAGCATAATAATGTTCATGGCATGAGACCTTAGATTATTGGAGTCAGTAACTGCTGCAAATTGCATTATACTCACATTGAAATGCTAGTTTAAGTAAAAATGCCTAGCACTCCAAAGAGATACTGAGAAAATAAGATTTGTTTCAGGACATGTGAATGATTTTTCAATTGTCTATTCTAAGTTCTGGAGATCCCAAAGGGGGAAAAAAACTTTTTAAAAAGGTTTAAGGCTAAGGTTGCATCTCTAAGGGTTATTTGAAAGGAGAAAAAGGGCCATTTATATAACTTGACTTGCTCCCCAGTAAGCATGATTATGCTTCAGGTGTGAAAAGGTTTTAGACAAATTAATAGTCTGACCTTTTATTGATGTACACTCTCTACTAGTGCTAGTTTAGAGAGAGATTTAGGTTGTTTTTTAAAGAAACACTTTTATGTAATAGCATTTGACGTTTAAATAAACACATTTTGCTAGACCTCACTTAGTCAATAGATTTTCAGTGTCATATATATATATATGTGTGTGTGTATGTGTGTGTGTGTGTGTGTGTGTATAGTTAATATTTCGGGTTTCTTCCCGTGTAATTGTGGATATATGCCTAAAAGGGTAGAAGCGACGTTTCAGCAGAATCCCATCTGCCATCATCAGGCTTATGTCAGCAGTCATTTTGCACGAAATATTAACTATACACACATACATACCCGTGAAAACTTACATATACACACACACACACACACACATCCATACACACACACACCACATATACATATACACACACACACACAAACTACACACACACATATAATATTATATATAATACATATAAATATACAATATAATGTATATGTTTATTTACTTGTTTCTTCCTAGAATCTGCTCAGGGAAATTCTACTAACTTTTATGTTTTGAACAAGCAGCTTGCTATGATTACAGTGACTCAAATATCACTTCAGCAAAGAAAAAAAAAAGATGTATTGCAACTTGTTTTACTTTAGTGAATGTTCGTGCTTTTACATTTATTAGCTTGTCTTTGTTTTAACTGGGATTCTAAATTTCCACCTGGTTGCTTGATGGTCTTAGAATTACTAAATTACTTTATTACCATATTGTAGCATTAGCAAGGAATGTTGGAACAATGCATTATATAGATATACATACATATGTGTATTTAAAAATATATAAACACATATATGTGTACGTACATACACACACAGACACACACACAGAGTAAAAAATACCCCTTAACTTTACAAATAAATTAGGCTTTTTAGATAGTTTAATTTCTAGCAAAGAATCTATTTTATCTATTCTAAATATGTATATTGTATACAGAGAATAAATGTCTTATGATGCAATAAGAAAATGGCTGCTTATTAAATAGGTTGATCATTGAATACCGACAGTTACTAATGTTCAGGTCAACAAAACTATATTTTGCCAAGTGCTGCTTTCATACATTTTCTTGTTTATTCTTGAACGGAAGAAATCTGCATTGTTTAAGATAGTGGGAGTGATAGCATATGTGGTGAATATACAGTATTTTGGGCAGAGAACATGCATTTTGTTTGTCTACCTGTGTAAAGTTTATGTTTAAACTTAAAATGCAGATTCCACCATATTGTTTTACTCTAATAGAAGAGAGCAGCTATCTGTTCAAATGGAACAATTGCATATTTTCTCTAATAGTTGCCCAGCCCTTGTTTCATTTTTAGATCTTTTCAAATGAGTCATAGATTTTGTGAAATATTTTGCATTTGATTATAGAATTGTAGTCGTGTTATAGACTACAGAGTAATAGCACTTCCAATTAATAAAAATGGCCTGAATGTAACATTAGAAATGTAGTGCATTTGTAGGACAGTATGTGAATGAACAAAGCAAGACCATAACTTGAAGTCTTCAAACAAAGTGACTACAGGTTTGGATTTTTAAGACTATTGAGATTAAATTTAAATGCAAAAGAAAAGAAAGCTGGAACTATTTGTTATGCATCCCTCTGTCCTGTTCTTGTTTTTGGAATCAAGTTCCAAATATACTCCGAAGTAAGCAAGCTTACTTGGAAATATAAATGTTTAAATGCTGAGTACATTTAACTAAATTTAATTGGATTATGTCTTCAATACCTATGCCTATCTCTTTTGCCATTTTTATTCCCCTGTATTGTTTTTGTTCTGCACTATTTTTCCATGGGATAAGGCAGTGATGGCTAACCTTTTTGCCCTCGCATCCAAAAGTGGGGGGAGCATGGGGGGTTTGCGCGCATGTGTGTCCACACCCATAATTCAATGCGCCCCGCACATGTGTGCATGACCCCCCTGCGCTCCCCCCACTTTTGGCACACGATGGCATGATGGGCCCGGTAGGCCTGTTTTTTGCCCTCCCCAGGCTCCAAGAAAGCTGGGGAGGGCGAAAACTGCTTCCCCACTCCCACAGAGGCCCTCTGGAGTCCAGAAACGGCCCGTTTCCTGACTTCCAGTGGGCCCAGAAGGCCCATTTTTCACCCTCCCCAGGCTCCAGAGGAACCTGGGAGGGCAAAAACTGCCTCTCCCCTCCCCCACCCGGAGGCCGGAAACAGCCCATTTCCTGACTTCCGGTGGGCTTGGAAGGGCCAAAAATCAGGTGGCCGGCACACGCATGCGTGCTGGAGCTGAGCTAGGGCAATGCTCGCATGCCCACAGATACGGTTCTGCGTGCCACCTGTGGCATGCGTGCCATAGGTTCGCCATCACCTATGGTATAAGGCTTTGGAGCATGCTGGATGAGGAATTCTGGGAGTGAAGTCCACATCTCTTAGAGTTTCCAAGCTTGAAAAACATTGCTTTAAAACCCATTGATCATCTTCCATTGGGTTTAGAAAGGGATGAGATTAGTGACAGTTAAATTCTCACATAGTTTTATGCTTCTGCAAATAACATTGAGAAGTTTGGATTATACAGAACAAAAGACAGCTCTGTATCTAAGGAAATAGTTTGCAAACCAAATTCTCAGCTTTAAGCCAATTGTTAGGGATCTTGTAGTTTCAACACAAGTAAGGGTTGAACTCAATGAACTTTTAAGTCTTTTTTTTAATTTGTATAATTCAGTATCAAAGAAATGGTAGTACAGTGGTCTAAGGCACCCTATTATTAAACTGGTTATTAAGACCAGCTGCCTGCAATTACTGCAGGTTCGAATCTCGCCAAGGCTCAAGGTTGACTCAGCCTTCCATCTTTTCTAAGGTAGGTAAATTGAGGACCCAGTTGTGGGGGCAATAAGCTGATTTTGTATAAATATACAAAAGAATGAAGGCTATTGCTTAGCGCATTGTAAGCCTCCCTGAGTCTCCGGAGAAGGGCGGCATATAAATCAAAAATAAATAAATAAAATAAAAAAATAAAGACATGAAAGAGAGACCATCACTTCTTGTTCAAATAACTGCTCAAAAACAATACAACGGGTTTTATGAAATAGGCTTGGGTAAGCAGAACAAAATGTAGCAGAAGAAGCCAATTGCACAAATTATTATAGCAATAATTACAAGACCAAAAGAGGCACAAGTTGCCCACTTCAAACATATGCTAACAGCATGATCATCGGTCTCCATCTTGGCTTCTGGCAACACTTGTTCGAGGCTGAAAATGGGCAGCAATCCTTTCAAACCTGGTCTTTGGCATGTCGGATATGTAAATTTTAATACTAAAAATGGAGGCCAACTGTGAACCATGATTATTCTTTTAAAAAATGGAAAACAGCTCTGGGAAGTGTCCCAAAGGTGCTTTTTTAACAGGTCACTGGAATTTCTTGTGGGTTTCTTTTCCCCTTGAAAATGTTTTACTGCTCATCCAAGAAGTTTCTTCAGTTCTCAAGAAGCTTCTTGGATGAGAAGTGAAACTTTTTCAAGGAAAAAACTCAAAAAAGTCCAGTTGCCTTTTGAAAAGCACCTTTGGAACAACCATGACCTGAATGATTAAGAATCTTCATGGATGCTCTGGGAAATTGATGGATAAATTCTCATAAAACAACATACAGGTAATTCTAATATTGGACTTTTCCTATTTATACTTATATCTACATAAGTTAGAATGATCAATTATTGTACTATTCTTAATTTATACTATGAAGCATACTTCAAGCACTTCTGATAAAAACAATCAAATAGCTTAATTTGGAACACTAATATGATCAATCGTGTAGTTATATAAGAAATTTATTATTATTTACTCCAGAAAGCCTACTCTTCTCTCAATGTGATTGAAAATACCTAAAGGAATATACGCATGTGCAACGTTACATACTTTGCACATGTGTATATTCCTTTAGATATCTTCAAGACACTTCTTCAATACTGACTCAACTCAGTGGAATTCTTATCTCTGTGGAAGAATCTCAGTTACAAAATCAGTTGCTTTCAAGATATGTGTGTAGAAATGTTTTAGTTGCTAAGTCTTGCTGACATTTTGAATGATTGCTGAAATTGACATGTCCTTATCACTTGACTAATCAAATAACCTCTCTGTTGTTTTCTTTCTTTTCTGGTCAAATCTCTTGCAAAAAAGGAAGGTAAAAGTAGAATCAATCTATATTCAGTTTTGAGTGAAAACTCTTTTGGTCACATTGTAAAAAGCAAATAAGGTGTGACTTTTGGTGTCATGAAGGAACATAACAATTGTAACTGAAGTTATGATTAGGAATTATATTATTATATATTACTCCAAAAGAGGCATTTGCTGGATTTTTTTTCCATAGATGGTAAAATAATTTAGGCAATTTTCAGTATAATTGCACTTGATAAATTCTTGGTCAACATATTGTGCTCCACCATAAATTCTGCACTGAATTATTCTCAATGAGATTATAGGATTTAATAGCCATTTGTGAAGTAAATTGGTCAAATAAAGACAACCTGTCTGACACCCAGGCCTGTCAAAACTGGCCGGAATAATCAGGATTTAAGAACGAAGTTAGTCTGAGCAACTGTATACATACTGCCCATTTATTTTATGTGGGACGTATAAGCTTGGTGCTGGGTGGAACCAGTTTTTCTTCTTTCCCAAATCATAAAAGGGGAGGTATCTCTGCAGCAGGAGCTACAGCTCTGCTAGTCAAGTCTGCATTGAAAGGCTTGCTTCTCTTTCCAGTTCCCCAGGTAAGAGGGCTTTCTTATATACTGTACCTTTCTGTCTTTTCTGTGAATGATTTTTTTTCTACCCCAGCTGGCATTATAGATAGAAAGCACTTTAGAAGACTCTGTCTTGATTGGGACTGGGTTCTGCATGAATCAGAGTGAAGATATTTTGCTTTGACGTTTAATCTCCTCAGATTTCAGGAGAGCAAGCAATTATTTCAGTAATGCTTAAAACTCAGGAAGAGCAAATCCATAGGAGAAATCAACGTTAGGGCTTGTCAAATTTTATTTGGTGCATGAATAGTGGTTATGAAAACTCATGCAGTTTATACATCTGTAGTAGCAGTATGAGTGCTTATTTGCTCCGTAATTAAGG